CACAAATCAAGGTCAAAGTTAAAACACGCTTTTTGCTTGTCCCGTCCATCGATCCAATCAGTATAATTGAATGAAAATTCAAACACATTTGTACCACCTCTACACAGCTTGCTGCATAACCATTGCCCAAGCTTCACGGTCAAGGCCACAAATCAAGGTCAAAGTTAAAACACAGTTTTTGCTTGTCCCGTCCATAATTTCTGATCCGATCAGTATAATTTAATGAAACTTCAAACACATTTGTACCACCACTACACAGCTTGTTGCGTAATCATCGCCCAAGCTTCAAGGTCAAGGTCGCAAATCAAGGTCAAAGTTAAAACAAGGTTTTTGCTTGTCTGGTCCATTGCCGTTTGCCGACGGGCGTATAATATGCCATACTCTTGTTCTGGCTAGAATTTTTTATGTCTTCAATTCAGAACCACAAGAAAAAAAAATCTATGTTCAGGACGTAAACACTCCAAAGATAAAAGCGCTGATTGTTCGAGTTTGATCATCATTGGAGATGAAAGTAATGGGGCAAGTTGATTTAACGGTTTCTGGTTACATGTTCATGGACCCGTCTTTTCTTTTTCTCCATCCTTAAGTGTCTTCGCACTCCACTAATATCAAAACGTGCAAACTGGTGAATTGTTCTTAAAACATTAAATGCTAATGCAGTCTTTATTGTTCATTTACAACACAATTTTTCTTTAATCTTTTACTAGTTTTACTACTTTAAACGTCATTATTTAGTCCTTTTAATTTAGGAGCATTTTAAAAGTAAAAACAAAACCTTTATTTTCTTAGCTCTACTCGAAGTTTTTTGAAAGAGCAACACATTTTTATAACATTTATACCTTTGCAAGTCGCTGATGAAGATTCTCAGTCATCCAGGACGTGGTAAATCCAAAAAAAGGTTGAAAACAAAACAACTGGACTTTATTTGTAACGGAAGATGTTTCGCTTTCTCAGTTCAAAGAAACGAGGAGTGTGGGATTCAAGCTATAAAACAGAGGTGTTGTGTTTTGCCCCTCTGTGTGGTGGGACTAACAAAGACTAACGATCCTCTGTTGTGAAGAGTGAGAGGTCAATCTGCATGTGTAAATCTGCATTATGCGAGCTTACGGAACACCTCTGCTTTATAGCTTGAATCCCACACTCCTTGTTTCTTTGAAGTGAGAAAGCTCGGATGAGAAACGAAACGTCTTCAGTTACAAATAAAGTCCAGTTTTGTTTTTAGCCTTTTTTTTAATTTACCTTTGCAAGTCAAATACGTGTAAAAGTAAAGTGCACGAGTAAATAAACACTAGAAGCATTAATCGTTGCAGCTAAACTTGAATTACTTTTATGAACTGTGGCTCAGGTGCAAAATGAAGTTTAAAGAAACACATTTCAATTGTTTTCTGAACAAAACAAAAGCAAAAACTCTTTAAATGTATTTTTTTCTTTACATTTTTTTTTGGCGTGTTCTTTTTTTTTTTTTTTTTTTTTTTTTTTTTTACTTCACAGCATTTTGATGGGTTTTTTTTTTTTGCTAAATGTCGTCTTTTGCGATTATCAATCTCAACTTTTCCTTCAAGGAAATGGTAGTTTTCATTACTAGACAATCCTTTTAAGTACAAAATAAAGGCAGGAGTATAGTTACAAGGAGGAGTTTCTTTTTAGGCAAATTATTTAATGAAATCTCATTTATTTGTGTAAAAACACGAGCAGCAGTGCTGGAGCCATTACCTCAGCGCTCACGAATAACCAAGCGACACAATCAACGTTTAATCGACTTGAGAATTACCTTCCTGTAATTGTGTTAAAATATTTGGCCCTCGTGAGTCGAAGACCTCGCCTAGAAAATGAGACGATCCAAGACCCGGGTCGGAGCGCCGCTCAAACAAAATGCAGATACGAAGAACGGATTATAAGTGTTAACTTTATGGGGATAATACGGTTGAATATTCCAATAATGGCTGCCATAAATCCATGCTTTCTTTATGCTTTAGCTCCTCAGACGCCAACGTCTCTGCGACTGTTTACGAAATCTACAAAAGTGAAGTCAGGTTCTTTGGACGGATTCTTCTTGTTGAAACATTTCATCTTTTATCCAAAGGACTTCGTCAGCCCGAGGAGCTGCAACAAACTCGGTCTTATAAATGGCACCTTCTCATAGTGGATCAACCAGTTTGCTGATGACATCCAGAACTATCTGTTCATATCAACAAAGTTCATGCTCGATGATCCAGGTGTAAAACCAACAATGTTCAGTCAGGTCATCTGGATTTATTTTTTATGTGTGTGTGCTGAGACGTAGGCCTGTCGCGATAAACAATAAATCAATTAATCGCATGATAAATTAAAATTATCGACCTCATTTTCATTTATCGACATTATCGTTTCTTCTTGTCTCTGAAGACACTGGATGACAAAAGGCTTAACTCCGGTGCTCTTCACTGACCCCTCCCGTCCAAAATCACGATTTTGGATCGTTACAAGCAGCTAAGCTACGAGCTAAGCTAACAGGCCGACCTCAGGGAAAAACCTCAGTCTTGTCGAAGCTCCAAAATTCATGGTTGAAACCCGTGCCTTCATCTAAAAAGTTGTGGGTTTTTTCTGCAAAAAGAAGCTGAGAACTTGTTAAATGATTTTTTTATTAAAAGCTTTGTGTGAAAAATGCTAAAGAGCTCAAACCACACCGAGCGTCCGCCATTTTGAGAACCGAAGAGAAACAGCCCATGTCACGTCTAGGGGCCTCCCTCCCATTTTTCATAAAGAGACACGCGCTGCTCGCTCCCTCACTATCCATCGTTTGGTTCAGACAGTCTTATACTGCCATCTGGTGGTTGAAAAAAGGTACTACACACAAAAATTTACCAACATTTGACAATAATTACTAATAGCAATATTATCGTTTATCGCAATAATTTCTGAGACATTTAATCGTCCAGCAAAATTTGTTATCGTGACAGGCCTACTGGGACGTTTCATCCGTCATCCAACAGACTTCTTCCAGTCTGAGGAACCACTAACCAAAACTGATTCTTCCCCAACAGCGTACTCCAAATTGGGGAAAAAAAACCCAGTTGTTCACATGCAAAAAGAGGACCATCAGTCTAACCATTGATCTTTGGTGCCCTGATGGCCGCTTGCTATTCACAGAGACTCCGCCCCTGTTTAATGTTGGACGTATTCTCTTCACAAAGATGGCCTCCTTTACTCCTCTCTCAAACCATCGTTCCTCTATCAAGGATGTGCTCATCTTTATTCCTGGAAAAAAAAAACCTGTGAATAGCAAGCGGCTATAAGGGCACTAACAATCCACCGTTACGATAATGGTCCTCCTTTTGCACGTGAACAGCTAGTTCTGGTTGTCTCCAGCAAACTGGTGGATCCACTATGAGAAGGTGCTATTTATAAGACTGAGTTTGTTGCAGCTCCTCCGACTGAAGAAGTCCTTTGGATAAAAGACAAAACGTTTCAACGAGAAGAATCCATCCAGAGGACCTGACTTAACTTTTTTTTTAGATTTTTCCACTTGGATTATTGAGCATGCATCATCAGGATGTTTCCAAAATCTTAGCGAGGGTTTCCAGTTCCTTGAATTTGGGGATTTTTTCTGGAAAGTCCTGCAGAAGTGTCGCTCCGAGTGATTCAGTGGGAAAATTGGCTCTTTTTTTGTCTGACAAGCCGCAGCCCATCTGATCGGCCAAGCTTTTTGTTGATATTAATATTACAAACACACTGATAATGCTATGTTACAAATTTTTTATAACTATTGTAGACGCATAAAAGGCATTTAAACTTTTACAGTTTTCAGTGTTTCACACTCGCTCCGCAGACTCGCCTCTTTCTTCAGCTCCGGTGTGGACTCGCCTCTCGCTGAGCGACAGAAACGCAGCACTGAACTTGTAATTTATTGTTTGTACAACTGATGTGTGAATTAAAGAAAAAAGCAACCAGATGAGTTTTATTTATTATAGTAATTTTGTACCAAATTACTATTTATCTTAGGGGTGTGACTGCGTTGGAACAATTCCATGTAAGAATATAGTGTTTACTTTTCTAGTCATCCACATGAATATATGTATATAAAATCTATATATTTAAACATCTTTGTGTCTGCGTCTCATTCAGTCGTCTCATTCCGAGTCTGAACGTTGAACGGTGGATGTTTTATTGAGAGCTACAATCACATGAAAGAAAAATGTATTGAAGAGAAAAACAACAGCTGCAAGCTAAATGTAGCAACGCCCCGACTTATTGACCGGAAGTAGCAAAACAGTAGCTAAAAGCATTAGCAGTATAATTACCAGTACTGGAACTGGCACTATTATTAGTTGTACTGGCATTAGTCTTGTAGTACAACTAGCATTACAAGTGTTATTAGTTGTAGTAGAACTTGTACTAGAAGTATTACCTGTAGTACAACTAATATTAAAAGAACAATAATAGTAGTAGTAGTATCCGAATTTGCAGTAGCAAGATTATCATTAGTATCATTACCAGTAGAAAAACTAGCATAAGCATTAACAGTGCAGTGTTAAAACTAGAATGATCACTATTAGCGTTAACGATATTATCACCAGTAGTAACTAGCAATAGTAAAATTAGCAGTAATAGAATTGGTATTATTACCCGTAGTAAAACTATAATTATCAGTATTAAAACTAGAAAAGGAAGACGCGAGTAAAAGATGGATGTTAACTTTTCACTCTGCAGTATCTCGTACCGTCTCAGTCACGTGAGTAATGTTAAAGCTGACAATCGTGCGTTGCGTACAATATTTTTTTTCCCCTCGTGTCCAATCTCACTTTGAAAAAAACGCAAAAGAGCAAGTCCGTGAAAGTCGAACCGCGAAGTAGCGAGGGAACACTGTACTAGAATTAAAAGTAGCAACAATAGCAATGCAGTAGAAACTGCTGGTGAAAAAAACTCGTACTTCTGTACAAGAACCACAGGAGAAGATTTATAACTGGTATTTATACTTGCAAGATTCGATTTTTGGGACAGGTTATATAAATATATGTAAAATATACACGTGACATGAAGACCAGTCACAAGAATCTGCCTCGAGCTGCGTTACCTGCTCGCTTTTATACCCTTATCAGTTCAGAGTTCAGAAGGTGGCCTCTTCGTTAACCCAAACATCTGGTTCATGGGCAGTGATAAGATCGCTTCTTGGGAGGCGGTTTTTAGAATTAACAGTCGTAAAGCCAGAATCAGCAGACGTCAAAGTTCATGCTCGATAATCCAGGTAAAGAAATCCAACAATGTTCAGGTCATCTGGACAGTTCCTTTTTTTTGTTGTTGAGAGACGTTTCCAACCAGTTTGCTGGTGATGAGATGGTTTCCAGGGTCCATCCCCCGCCCTGTCGACTCCTCCCAGCCAAACTGGTTGGTTCACTGTAGGAGTGTACTGCTTGGTGGGGGAAACGGTTTGTATGCGGCGACTCGGACTGATGAAGCCCTTTGGATGGAGGGCGAAACGTCTCTCAACAACAACAAAAAAAGGAACTGTCCAGATGGCCTGTCTGAACATTGTTGTATAGAATTAGCATTATTCTAAGCAGTAGTGGTGGCTGCAGCAGCTTCAGTGCCGCAGACTTGTAATGCTGAGGTTGCGGGTTTGAGCCCAGGTTGTGTCAGGAAGGGCATTCGGTGTAAAGTAACTACCAAATCTTTCATGCGTGTTCGCTCCTTGTGGAGACCCCTGCAGAAGGGAGCAGCCGAAAGAAACTTATCCTTTTAGTGGAACTAGTGTCCGCAGTATTAGGTCATGTTGTCACAAACAGTCCCACCTTTTGGCTCTGAATGGAACAAAAACTAAAGAGTACCGTTTTGATAAAGCTCTGCCTCAAGTGTCACTGAGGTCCAGTCTGCTTAGTGGCTCGTAAACGTTGCGTGTCTGCAACCGCCGTGCCACTTCTGGGCTATGGTGACGTTGGTACGAACGCCCCAGCCGGTTCTCTGTCCACGCTGCTTATGCTGCCTCCTCATCGTTATTCTAAGACGTCACAACCGTTGCTCCCTAGTGTTTATTTTGTTCGGTCTACACTCGGTTTGCACAGTGGGAGGACATGGGCTTGTGTCATTTGGGCACTTTTAAGCGGGTACACTGAAATTCCCATTAGTGGGTGTACTCTGTACGCCGCTGATCGGAGGGTCACAGGTCAATCCCCAGATCGACGACATCAAAATGTGGGTGGAAAAGGTGAAGCACTCACACTTGCCTCCACGCTCATTTGCCCCACTCTGGGCCCATGAGCAAGGCTGTTAACACCCCCTGCTGCTCCCCGGGCAGCCCACTGCTTCACATGGGTGCTCACATGTGCAATGGGAAAAATGCACAGAATTAATTTCCCCATTAGGGATTAATAGATTCATAGATTAATAGAATGTTTCCTCTGTTGGGCCCCTAACTGGGAAATGATGGCACAAGTTGAGCGTGAGCATCGTTTCCTGTTTAAAACAAAGTTTACTGAGGTTCGACCTTCAGAGTGTGAGTGGCATCACTGCATCCAGGTGGGCTCCTCTGTGGACAGACTGCCCCCACGTGTTCAGGGGCCCCATGAGTTCAGCTCATTGAGGGGGGGTCAAAGTGAGTGCAATGCAAAGGCGCCACCTGTCGACAAAAAGCGTGAAACGTTGCAGAAAGCTGCTCCTTCACCTTGATGCGCCTCCCGGCTCTCTTCCGCCATCTAGCGGCGACGAGCTGAAACTGCAGCCTGGACTTTTGTCCCCTTCCGACTTTAAGGTGGATCCTTCAGATCTTTGCGGACAAGCTGATGATGCTGAAGTGGGATTCTGCTCCTGCAAGCCTGCGCGTTTGTTACGAGTGCCCTAAAATGAGCCTGACAAGTGTTTTGTGACGATACTGCTGAGGTTTATCCGGTTTGAGGGAATGAAAGTCTTGAGGAGAGGAACAATTGGGGGAGGAGGGGGGGGGGGAGTAGGAGGACGGGGGCGCCGGGTGCCTTCATGAGAGCGTGGAGGAGTCCCTGGTGGAGCAGCTTCTCCACCTTAAGACCTCAGCGGCCCCTCTCCCTGCGGAGCGGAGCTGCTGGGAGCCGCGCGCCGCAGCCGGTTTGGCGCAGGCAGGCGGTGCGCGCGGGGCTCCACGGTCCAAATCCCTGCGTGCCACTTCACTCCGAACCCGAACCAATAAAATAAAAAGGTTTACTTTGAATCAAAACAATAAAACCGTCAGCAGCTTTGGTTAAAAACTTTTATTTTCATCAGAAACGCTCGTGCGTAATTCTTCTGCGAAGATTCTCGGGATGATTGATGCTCTTGGCAACTGACCCGGGTCCTCCTCGCGCACGGGATTTGGCCCCCCTCTCTCAAATCAAAGAGCGCTCGGGGAAGGGGGTGGTCCCGGGACCAGAGCAGAGGATAAATAGCCCGGCCCGGCCCGGCTCGGGTCAGACTGGAAAACGGCTGAAGGAGCAGAAGTGAGAGGGTGAGACAGAGGGGGACTCTGTTGGGATTTAAGACTTTGATTCAGATTTTCTTTTCATTTTAGGAAAAAGGACTTCCGCTTTATAAGAGTTTTATCTGGATTTGATTTTAAATTTTTAGGCTGTGCGTAATTTGGAACGGTTCCGTGGAAACATTTGATCCTGCTTTGGTTTTTATTTTATTTTATTTTTTTGGATTTCCATGATGTGGTTCTCCTTCGGTTTGGTTGCCGTTCTGTGGGTCGGAGCAGCCCGCAGCGCGTGGGAGGAGAGCAACGTGGTGCCGGTCCGACTGGATCCGGAGAGCGGACATGAACCGTCCCGGGAGGTGCGCGCGTACCGGCTGGACGTGTTCGGGAAGCGGCTGGTTTTGCAGCTGGAGCCCGACCAGACCTTCCTGGCGCCGGGGTTCGTCTTCCACGTCGTGGGGAGCCCCGAGTCCGACCCGACCCGGGGCCCCGAGAGGAGCGGAGCCGAACCGGGCTGCTTCTTCTCCGGCACCGTGAACGGAGAGGAGCGCTCCGCCGCCGCGCTCAACCTCTGCGGCGGCCTCACGGGAGGCTTCTTCTTCCAGGGCGAGGAGTACTTCATCCAGCCCCTCAACTCCTCCGACCTCCAGGAGGAAGGGGAGGAGGAGCAGGAGGTCCACGTGGTGCGCCGGAGGAGCCGCGCAGCTTTGGCGGAGGAGGGCAGCTCCAAGTGTGGGGTCAGCGAGGACGAGGAGAGGGTGCCAAGGAATCTGGAGAAAGGAGCCAAACACGGACAGACAGGTAAAAGCGCGCGCCTCCTAAACTTTGACTTCTTTTATTAGAGCTGGACTCTTGAAACAAACAAACAAACAAACAAACAAAAACTAAAGTCGTCTGGAGCTGGAAGGACCAGCAGAGTTGGACTCAGCTTTTGACAGCGCTGTCAGGAAACTGGGAGGAGGGAAGGGAAAACTCTAGGAAGAGGGGGAGGAGTGGGGGAGGCAGTAATACTCCCTCCCTGGTACTAACCGCACCGACAGATTTGAGCCCCTCTCAACTTGGCACCATTGTTCCCAAAGAATGTGGACCCTGAAAAGGAGTCCCCACCTGGTGGGGTGGCACCAAGTCCCAAGCTACTTTTTAGAAGTTGATTATTTTAATGTTTGTCCAAAATAAAATGGTCTGACCTTTTCATCCTCTTTCTCACAGATAACCACAGAACCAAGCGTTTCGTTTCCACCCCTCGCTACCTGGAGATCATGCTGGTGGCCGACCAGTCCATGGCTGAGTTCCACGGTGCAGGGCTCAAACCCTACCTCCTGACCATCATGGCGGTGGCGTCGCACCTCTACCGCCACCCGAGCATCCACAACTCTATCAGCCTGGCCGTGGTGAAGCTGCTGGTGGTCTACGAGGAGGAGCGAGGCCCTCAGGTGTCCTCCAACGCCGCCATGACCCTCCGCAATTTCTGCCAGTGGCAGCGCCAGCACAACCCTCCGAGCGACCGGCACCCGGAGCACTATGACACGGCGGTGCTCTTCACTAGAACCGTAAGTTGCGTTTCGGATGTTTTTCTAACAGGAAATGGTTCAAAAACAAGTTTGTTGATGTTCCGCGCCTGCTTCGTTAGGATCTGTGCGGTGCCCACTCCTGTGACACCTTGGGGATGGCAGATGTTGGCACTGTGTGCGACCCGGACAGAAGCTGCTCCATTATTGAGGACGATGGACTGCAGGCAGCTTTTACTGTGGCACACGAACTGGGTACGAGTCCTAAACGATCTTGTAAAATACAGAGCGCATGAGTTCTACAGGTGCTAAAATATCTGTTGACGTCTGCCTTCCAGGTCACGTCTTCAACATGCCTCATGACGATGCCCAGTTGTGCTCTGGTGTCAACGGTCTCCATTGGAGCTCCCACATGATGGCCTCCACCCTGGCCAATCTGGACCAGAAGGATCCATGGTCTCCCTGCTCTGCACTCATGATCACCACCTTCTTGGACAACGGTCACGGTCAGTGCTTGCTAGATAAGCCGGCGAAGCCTCAGCCGCTCCCCCAACCTCTGCCAGGGATGGTCTACGACGCAGACCATCAGTGTCGCCTGACCTTTGGTGAAGACTCGCAGCACTGCCAGGACCTGAGCACAACGTGCGCAGCTCTGTGGTGTACCGTAACTTCATCCAATGGTTTGCTGGTGTGCCAAACCAAGAACTTTCCATGGGCCGATGGGACATCATGTGGGGATGAGAGCTTCTGCTTGGCCGGACAGTGTCTCAGTAAGCGTCAGGCCATTGAATTTCAGGTATTTATTTTCTAACTCCATATTTAAAAGCACTCCTTTACTCTTGTTCACCTGCGTTCCTATTCTAAAGCTGAATATGTTTATCTCTGCCAGACTCCTGTTAATGGTGGTTGGGGCGTCTGGGGTCCTTGGGGCGATTGTTCTCGGACCTGCGGCGGAGGAGTACAGTATTCTTTTCGTGCCTGTGACAACCCCGTGCCAAAGAATGGAGGCAAGTACTGTGAAGGCAAGAGGATCCAGTACCGCTCCTGTAACACGGAAGCCTGCCCTGACACCAACGGTAAGAGATCTTGGGTCAAGATTTGACTGAATGTTCTCAAACCGTTCTTCAGCTTGAAGTCATTTTTAACGTATTTGCCTCTCTTGTTCAGGCCTGTCGTTTCGTGAGGAGCAGTGTCTGGCCCACAATGACATGTCAGCCCAAGTGTCCTTGGGTTCAGGCGAAGGCGTGGAATGGGTGCCCAAGTACGCTGGAGTTTCACCCAAAGACCGCTGCAAGCTAGTGTGCCGAGCCAAGGGGACTGGGTACTTCTTTGTCCTCAAATCTAAAGTGAGTAACAAAACCTATTTGTTATCACCGTTTTTAAAATAATACATGATCGAGATCTTAGTTTACCTCAAATTAGCTCTGATTTAGGCCTACAACTTGTTGTTCTCCTTCATGACAGCCTTTTTTGTTTTCGTCTCTCTGCTGACCCCAGGTGGCCGATGGAACACCCTGCAGTCCAGATTCCACCTCTGTTTGTGTTCAAGGCCAGTGCGTCAAGGCTGGCTGTGACCGTGTCATTGGCTCCAACCGACGCTTTGATAAGTGTGGCGTGTGTGGCGGAGATGGATCTACCTGTAAAAAAGTCTCCGGCTCTCTGGAGCATGCCAGGTAAACACAAAAACCCTTTGTTGTCAGACCTTTGTTGCATTCGGGCCACAATCCTTTTCATACCTAATTTTAACTACCTCTGCTTCAGGCCTGGTTATGTGGATGTTGTAACCATCCCTGCTGGCGCTACTCACGTGGACATCAAACAGCGTGCTCCGGGCAACGGTCGCCAAGACAACAGCTACCTGGCCGTGCAGCGCCTAGATGGAACCTATCTCTTAAATGGAGATTACAAACTCATGACCATGGAGACGGATATCGCCGTTCGGGGATCGCTCTTAAGATACAGCGGCTCTTCTGCTGTTCTGGAGCGCCTTCGGAGCTTCAGCCCACTCCCTGAACCCCTCACCATCCAGGTTCTCTCTGTAGGTGAGGCTCCACGGCCCAGAGTCAAGTACAGCTACTTCGCCCCCAGACCCAACAACGCTGCGTCGCATCCCAACAACAACGGAGGGCGTCATCACTCGATCAATGCCATCCGTGAGGTTGGTGGAGCCGAGTGGACTCTGAGGGAGTGGGGTCCGTGTTCCCAGTCATGTGGAGGAGGCGTACAGCAAAGAGAGGTCGTGTGTTTGGACCCCCAGGGGCGTTCATCCAGGGACTGCCCAGAGGAGCTTCGGCCTTTGGTTTCACGGTCCTGCGACTCCCAGCCGTGCCCCTCCTGGCTCCTGGGCGAATGGTCCGAGTGCTCCAAGACCTGCGGCCGGGGCTTCCGCAAGCGTCAGCTGCGCTGCATCGGGCACGACGGACACACGTTGACCCACGACAGCTGTGACATGAAAAACCGGCCGCGACCCCTCCTGGAAATGTGCAATCGGAACATCTGCTAAGGACTGCGGCTATAACCGGCTCAAAATCCTTCACCACCCCCTTTCGCACAAACAATCGAGAAAAAAAGGTCACATGAATGTTTACATCCAGAGCTACGAATAAGTCCTCAATGATTGTGATTGTATGTTTTGTTGTTTATCTCATCCCTCCATGAGTTTTGGGGCCAAACGTTGGGAAATGGACGGCAGGTGTCCGTCAGCAGCGGCACATCGGACTATCCGCTGACGGCGGAAGAAAATGACATTTCCCGCAGAAAGCATGCGAACTCTACAGTCATGCTTGCGTGTGTGTTTGTGTGTCTTTTTGTACTATTCTTGTATATATTTGTCCAAGCTGGGCTGGACAGACCCGTCAAGTGCTGGAGGTTTCCTCAGATTATATACAGAAACAAAATGAGAGAGAATAGCTTCTCATCCCATCAGGTATGGAAAATAAGATTTGTTTATTTATCACAAACCTGAAGCACTTCATCTTCTTTTCCTTTTCTTGGCCCGCGGCACATTTCACCCAGTTTTTCCACGAAACGCCTCAAACTTTTAGCCATATCTCGACCTTACCTACTCGACTTTTAATGAGGGAACTCCAACAGACCAAAGAGGAGAGTTTGAGTCTGAATGTGTGTGCGTTTGTGTGTGTGTACCTAATGAGGGACTTGTTTCCTGTTACTACTTCATAAGTAAGTCTCTCCTGCCTTCCACGAAGGCCGTTTCTCTTTTCTATTCTGTCTAGAATATCCAAACGTTTATTTATTTTTGTACAGCCTGTTAAATATAACCATGTGGCTTTTATAAATATATTTTATATTTGTTATTGAGATTGCAGAAGGAAGTAGAATATATAGAGTATTTATACGGTGTTTATATATATATATATATGGTCCTAGATTCATGAATAAAGCATCACGTTGACTTGGCCAGCTGAGTGTTTTTGTCTTTTTTAACCAGCCCTAAAGATTCAGTGACCTCATAATGTCATAACAAACTGCTTTTTTTTAATTCAGGAGAGTTGAAGCAGGTAGGCAAACCATCTTAAAGAAGAACAGAGGTCCTCTGTTAAAAAAAGACCGCTAACGACATTTATCAAAGATCTGAAGTGGGTATCAAACAAGGAAATGTGGTCTAAAGTCATGGTTCCCATCACAGGTCCTTGAGGAACGCCATGCTGCACATTTTGGCTGTTTCCCTGCTCCAATATCGGATTCAGTGATTTAATTACTTCCCCAAGTTCTGCCAAAGTCTGTTAATCACCCACTCATTCAAATCAGGTGTGGAGCAGGGCCGCAACTAAAACATGCAGGATGGCGTTCCTCAAGGACCAGAGCTGGGAACCACTGGGCTAAACTACTTTCCAGGGATTTATCGGCACGAGTATCCAGGTATAAATACTTAAGTACTTCAGTACACTGTGGTAACAAACATGAGGTTTAAAAGAGCATTACATCGACCAACCCCCCCCCCGCCCCTGACTCTGAGGATTTGAATGGTGAATGTTTGTAGTTTTCCAGGTGAGTGATTTTTCTGTACTGGGTCAGTAAATCTTAATGTTGTTGGTGCAACATGTTCAGCTGGGTAGGAGTTACTGTTCAGAACAGAGGTAGTTTTTATTTATTTATTTATGTGATTATCTGAAGCGGTACGTTTTCCACAACCAGGCACAGTGGCAGAGCTAGTGGGTTGCCAATGGTGCCACCATTGTTTAGTTTTTGGCCACCCCAATAATTTGAGGACACTATACTTTTAAGCAATATAAAAACCAAAAAGCAGTTTCCTGTGTAAGTTGTGGTTGATGTGT